TGGCAAACCTGAGCGAGAGGCCAATTAGAATGACTGTTCCCTAAACAACTGTGAGGACTCGACCCACTCATGCCACCGAGAGGGTGACTCAGAAAGCAGGACCAAGTCCTTTCCCCCACAGTGACAGCGGGTGGCTGACAGGAGCAACCTCAGGAGACCACAGGCTCTGGGCAGTGATGGGACAGCATGTTCAAGGTCATAGGGGAGGGACCCCATCTCATCCACCTTGACCAAGAGCTAAACACGTCAAAACACCTTCAGAATATTTCTGTAACATTCTTCATGCATTTTCGGGGGGGGGGGAGGTTGGCATTACATTGGACCATCTGAAGGACAATAAAGTTGCTCCATGCCAATACTTGATTATTCTGACTGAGTTCTTTAAAGGAACCGGCATTCTGAGACCTTTTCCCCTCAGCTTTACAACCACGTGGGGGTGCTGCAATTTCCCTTTATTTTCCCCCACCTACCTCCGGACCGCGAATGTCACATGGCGCCCCACCCTCTCTGAGCAGAGAGGCTTTGAGTGTGGCCCCGGGGAGAGGTGGCTTGAGAAAGAAAAGGCAGCAGGCCTTTGCGTGACCCTGACATCAGCAAGGCTTTGTTGGGTCATCAGGATGACCTGTCCCCCCCTGGCACCCAGGTCCTGAGCAGGTGCTCCAGGCCCCTGGCTCCCGGTTGGGGGTGCCGAGGTCAATGCCCATGAATCGGACTTGGATCCTCACTGAGTGACCGTGCTGTCGAGAAGAAGGAAACGACCCTGACGACACAGCAAACGCATCACATGAAGAGGCCATAGAATTCTGGGCGCCAGTGCGTGAGAGAGGAGGCTGGGGGGTGCACTGAGCGGGCGGTGCGGTGAGCGGTGAGGATTGCTGAGCAGAGTGGTCCCCGGCCACGGGCCGCAGGAGTCAGGGCACAGTGCGGCCGTGGTTCTCAGCCAAGAGTGGTTCTGTCCTCTCCCCAACCCGGTGCGTATCTGGAGACATTTGCGTTTCTCACGTGGGGGGGCCAGGGGGCGCGTGGTGAAGGCTAGGGATACTGCACACATCCCACAGAAATCCACAGAAATCCACAGAAAATGATCGGCCCAAATGCAGACACTACCCGGGCCTCCAGGGAGAAGGCAACAGAGGGGTGGGGACCACTGAGTCAGCTATGGCCAAGGTCAAGGTGAGCTGCAGACACAAACCAAAATGTGCCCCTTCAATAGCAGCCGTAGAAATGCCAGCTTCAGCACGACAAAGCATGCATTCCCCCGGCACCAACCATTGGTTCCTCAGTCTAGACCAGCGATTCTCCGTGGCGGGGTTCGCTCCCCGGGAGTATTCGCAGCGGGGCCCCTGCTCCCTCCTCTACAGGAAGGACAGAAGGTCCTCTTGGCCGAGCCCGAGTAGAGAGGGTCCTCAGGGGATTTCTCCGGGAGCCTAATTACATGGCGCGTCAAGAACCCTACAAAGGCGGCTGCGCTCTGACCGCAATACTCCACTCCAAGGATTTTTTTTAAAGAAAATCACCAGCATGTAGAGAAGTCTCCTGCGCCAAGTTTCCTCATGACTATCACCTCCAAAGCGAGGAACGAGTGGCAACGCGAAGGACCAGCGGTGAAGAAATCGCCGGGCTCTGATCGGTCCGTGAGACACATCATTTGGAAGCCCATAAACGTTATCTTTGCAAAGTCCTGCTAATATCCGGAAACATTTATGACACGGTGCCAAGTGGCAGAGACCCAGGGGGAAATGACATGTGCAGCTGGAGCTCCACTCCTTCACAGAAAGAAACAGACGCGCGTAGAGAGAGAAGGGGAGCAAGTTCACTGAAAACGAGCCACGCTTACTTCAGGGTTCTGCGCTTCTTTATTCTGCCCTTTGCTGTTCTCAGGGCCTGTCATGTGGTAATGTACGATGGCCTCAGTTGCCTCTGCCTGGACCTGCTGTCTTCCCATCCACGGGACCATTCCCAAGACCACTGCCCACCCAGAGCCCATAAACACCCTACCCGAGTGGAATTCCCAGAGAATCCAACGTGCAGCACTGCAAACAGGGTGGAGTTTGCCCTGGAGGACGGATGACGCAGAATCAGCCAATTACAGCCTATGGGACCAACATGAGCCCCCACCTGTTTTTATAAATAAAGTTTTATTGGAACATAGCCACGCTCATTCATTCATTGTAACAGTGGCTAATTTTCTCTCTACAACAGAAAAGTTAAGTAGTTGCTACAGACACCATCTGGCCCCCCCAAAGCCATACTTAATCATTAATATCTGGTCCTTTACAAAAAAAAAGCTTGCTGCGGGATTGGTGTGGCTCAGTGCTTGGGCGTTGACCTATGAACCAGGAGGTCAGGGTTCAATTCCTGGTCAGGGCACAGGCCCGGGTTGCAGGCTCAATCCCCAGTGCGGGGCGTGCAGGAGGCACCCGATTGACGATTCTCTCTCATCACTCATGTTTCTTTCTCCCTCTCCCTTCCCCTCTGAAATCAATGAACACATATTTTAAGAAAGAAAGCTTGCTGGCTCCGGATCATTAAGACAAATCTCGTTTGTAAGGTAAGGGCTCCCCAGTGTTTTCCAGCCCCTCGTGGGACTGGAGGAGCTGAGTCTAAGGCAGACGGTCTGGTGGGCTGGACACAGACACGTGCTGGCTGTGGTGGCGCCTTCCCGCGGGCGGTATACGTGCTCCATGAACTAAACCCCACAGGCCCCTGCTGGGCAGAGTCTAGTGTCGGCACCGGGTAGACAGCCCTCCGCTGGGACCTGGCAGGGAACCCTCAGTTGCGCGCACCAAACAAGCCATTACAAGACTAATGACATGGCCATCGGCTGCTAAAATACTCGCTGCTGGTGTTAGTGGAGAGAAATGGCGAGCCTTAAGGCGCGTAAGGGAAATGATGCAACACGATGATTGTCATCAGTCATTAGCGAACGTTGTAGTTCATTATTAATAATGATGCGTAATAGGATATTGTAAAAATTAAGTTATAAAATTTTTTTTAAAACGTTTCTTACACACCATTGTATTAGCTGGGCTGCAATAATATTCATTGTGGGCCGCATGTGGCCCGCGGGCCGCGAGTTTGACATGCTTGGTGTAGATTATACTAGGACAGGGCGGACGGGGTGGTTAGAGCGTGGGAGCTGTGCCTGTAAATCTCAGGCACGGAGGCCACAGCGTGGCCACGAAGGGCTTTCTTGTCACCTGGGAAGAAATCCGTCCCATTGCAGGGCAGATTCTGGGGGAGCGCGCCCTGAAGGACAGGGATGTGTGTGTGTGCGTGTGTGTGTGTGTGTGTGTACACATTTGTGTGTGCAGGCTGGGGCAAAAGTAGGGTTACAGCTGTGAGTATGTGAAACGGTTTATTCTTGTATTATTATTTAGTGATCATTGTGCTATTCTTCATGGGGACAACTGTAACCCTACTTTTGTCCCATCTATAGCTGAGGCGTGGCCCCCCACGGGAGCCCCAGGTTCTGCAGCTTGGAACTTGGGGCCAAGGGGCCCAGAGTCACACAGAATCTCTTGCCCTCACACATTTCACTTCGGGCAGATGAAGCGGAAATTTCTTCAAGCCTGAGGGGCTCTTCGAGAACCCCAAATGCACGCCTGTCTCCCCCCTGCACTCGGCCCGCACGGCTCAGGCGTCGCGACGGTCTGATCCCTCTGGGAGTGTGTCAGCAGGCCTCACAGATCCCCGAGCCTTGGCTAGACATAAACCTGTCAAATTAATTACATCCTTTCATGTCTGCGCGCATTCCAGCTTTGACATATTTCACAGCCACTTTTGTTAATTAACACAGCGTTAATGGGTGGGAATCGCACCGGGAAATTATCACGCGCATGCTGCCCTTCCTGTTTTACTGCCGTTACCTTTAAATATCTTCCCCAAGTGGAAAGGCGCTCGTTCAGACGCCAGAGTCTCTCGCAGAGAGTAAAGCAGAAAATCGAAGTTTGCACAGAGAGAAAGAGCTTGGCCTCTGGCTGTGGCCCCGTTCCCTCCCAGCCTCCTGGAGCGGGAGGGGGGCGTGGGGGGTGGCGAGGGGAGGGCATCCAGCAGGCCCGGGGACCCTGCCTGACACATGACACAGGAACAGCAGCACTTCCTGGCCAAACTGCTCCGCGAAACACGGCCGAGGAGACAGAAAACTCGGCTGCTGTCCAGCCTGGAGAGGCCCAGCTTTGCTTCCTTTAGAAAATGTCCTGTAATTATTACACACACCCACACACACTCACACACGCTCACATACACCCACACACACTCA